AATCGTGCATAAAATATTGCACGACTGTCTGCAGTAAGAACCCGATAAATTTTACTTCACTCTTTTTTATTAGCTTGAATTCTTTGTTTTCCCAATCATTTATGATGTTATAGTTAGATGAAAAAGATGCATCGTAGAACTTTGGCAGATCTCTTATTTTGTGGAGAATTGAACAGGCTATCCAACGCTGTAGTTAAAAAAGTTTTGAAAAGAATTTTCAGGATGCTAGATTTCTGCAAAACTTAGTGTTTCAGACATCTTTTTCTCAAAATCCTGAAAGGGTATGATCTTAGTACGATTGTTTGACCATGACAGCTTATCTTTTGGTAGAGTCAAGACTTTTTTCATCACAGGTGGATATTAATAAGTGTGAAATAATAGAAATCTTATTTCCTTTATGCATTAGAAAAAAGCATTAGAAACTAGAGACCAACTACCCTTCGGAAAGATTGGAAAGTTGACTGAGTGGAACGGTAAACAGACGAAATTAGAAGAACTAGAAACACAACTGTTTACGTATCTTCTATGGCATATTATTCACATATCAGCTGCTTCTTTATCGTGTCTGCTGTAGCTTTTATCATATCAAGCACTGCAGCATATATTCACTATGAAGTGAATCACGTGACAATTAATTATCTCATAGGAAAAACGATAGAGTTTTCTAAAAAATATACTCATTTTGTGACACTAATTTTAGGATAAGCAAAGCAAATATCAGAAAACTAACTTTAGATGTGTCATCTTTGACTTCTCTAATTTTGAATCATCCCTTCCCGAGATATGTACCATTAGAAATAACTGAGAAGGAGTGACTGACTCTAACGAGAAAAACGGTATAGAAAGAAAGAAGAATTTTGCTAGGCAACGCTCGAAGTTAAACAGAATAAGTCTGCTTGAGTTTCACTCAGTCGAGTTAACTAAACACCAACTGCCCTACAGGCAGACTGGTATACTGATCAAGTAAAACGTATCTTAGAAACACCTTAGACACCATTTGAATCTCTTACATACGGTTAGAACACTTTAATGCTCGTATTCATGAGCCCAAAACAGTCAAAAAATTTTTTGGGGCACGGAAATTGACAAACCGTGCCCAAAGCAGAATTTGTCCACTCATTACTTAATAATTAAAACATGTATCGAAAATATAGCTTCAGCTGTGTCATCTACAGCTGTTGCACTCTCGAATGATGTTTTTCCCAAATCTGTACGATTAGTAATAGCTGAGAACGAGTGGCTGACTCGAGCGAGAAAAGTGTGTGGGAAGAAAGACTAGAGCGCCAACTGCTCTTCGGGAAGATTGGAAAGTCGACTGACTGAAACGGTGAAATAGACGGAATTAGAACATCTACAAATTCATAACAGTTTGACTATTTTTCAAGTAGAATTCCTATATTTCTATATCATCTGATTCATTATCGTGTCATATATTCTACTATAGTATAGCTTTCATCATATACAGTACTGTAGCATATATTCACTATGAAGTGAATTGCGTGACAATTAATTATCTCATAGGAGAAACGATAGAGTTTTCTAAAACATATACTCGTATTGTAGAACTGATTATTGGATAATTAAAGCACATATCGCAAAAGTGGCTTCGGATGTGTCATCTCCGACTCTCTACTTTCAAATGATCTTTTCAACAAATCTGAACGATCAGAGATGATCGAGAGCGAGCAGCTGACTCGAACGAGAAAACGGTATGGAAAGTAAGAAGAATCTTGCTAGACAACGTACGAAGTTAAACAGAATAAGTCTGCTTGAGTTTCACTCGGTCGACTTAAAGAATTTTACTAGGCAACGCTCGGAGTGAAAAGCAATAAGTCTCCTAAGTTTCACTCAGTCGACTTAAAACGCGGCTATTCCGCGTGTCAGGATTTCCACCAATAGAAGTTGATGAATATGGGAAAATCTTTTTTCGCAAATGCAACCGTTCTAACGCTAAGACAAGTTCATTTGGTTTTGGAAAATTTTGCCTTATTTTGGTCAAAACATAAAAAATACGCATTTTTAACATAGCAGGTTTTTCTAAAACCACTCTTTATTTAAAAACAAAATGAAATTATTTTATGATGATTTGTTTTGAAAACCAGAGAGCTTGCTCTAGTTGTAGACGTTTCATTTTGTGAAAAACGCTTCCAGTTATCTGATTCTGTTGTTTCGAAAATGTTACCTTTTCTGTAAGGAGCTGATAAAATATAATGTAACTTTAGAAATTGTTTCTTCAAAATGTAGACATTTGTAACTCGCGATAGAAGCAGTTTAGAAAGTCGGGATGACTTCTATTTTGACGAAAGCACTTGATATTATCTAGAAACATCTTAAACTCAATCTTAAAAAATATTATTTTAGAGTGCAGATGTCCTTGAAGGATACTTTCAACTGATCTGTGCCGTATTTGCGATCATTTTTATCGCACAGACTGAAATCTTTTCTAAATGTATCATGTATGAGATTAATAAATAAATGTCCAATATAAAAAACTTTGGCATTAAAGTAAGGCACTTATCGATATTTTTACTCTTTCTTACATATGTATGTGGACGGAAGTCCATCATGACCTTTCCAGTAAGTTTCATATATGTATATATCTACCTATAGACAAAATTTTCTATACATATGTATAAGTTTTTTTATTTGATTAGTTTTTAAATGTAAATTCAGTAATTAGAATATAAGACAGTGATTTTCTTGACTTCGTTTTCCTCCGCAAATCTCAAGGTTTGTTTCATATCTTTTTATCATATATGTCCTCTCATTCGAAAGACAGTCTCACAAAACTGCTTTTCTTGCTGAAGGAGTATTCAATTCTGTGGGACGGGGATCTTCCCCATTTTGAAAATCATTGAAAAGAAGTAATCTGTTGAGAGGTCTCAGAGTCTAAGTGATATAGATGACGAATATATATATGTAATAAACGCTGGAATTCGAGATTTGTGAAGAAAACGAATATTTCAGAACTTAAGTCTACGTAAAAGTAAAAAAACTATTCTTTTTTTTGTCTAATCAAAACTGTAATTTAATTGTATTTATTCCGATTGTATTGTATTTAATTGTATTTACTTTCCGCCTCAAAATGTATGTACATTAATCGTTTCTATAGTGTCCTAACAATTCCAGTTAATCTCAAGACATTTTTACTATATTTTTAATGAATCGAAAGTAGTGTCGTTCTCGTACTAATATATATCAATGTTTTTATACGAATCAATTCATAGCCAAATTTGATAGAGCATATCTATAATGAGGGAGTGTCATCTACTAATGATAGTGTTGCTTCCTTTTTGTCTACAGATATTCTTTTACTTAAAACGCACAAAAATATTTAGTGTTACTCATAAAAATTCTTTTACGATCGAAAAAAGTTGTTTTATTTATCATCATGCATTGTTGATCATAGATTCTGTTTTCTCTGTGTATAATACCTTTATTTCCAACTATTGAGAAACTCGAACAACGTACCAGCAAAATTGTGACAACACGTCAATTGCATAGCAAACCTAAATTGACTTTAATGGATAATCTGTTTCAGTTTTTTTGCACAACATACAAACCGCAAGCATGTTGTTAAACAGCTGATAACAAATAAAATTAAGAATCTAGTTAAATTGAAGACAGCATAGAATATAAAACCATTGATGAATATGTCAAATGGTCGTTAATATGAAGCACTGAAATATGAATAATTTTGATTCATTGACCCTATTCTGATTAATAGTATATACATTTCATTTTGAAAGATTAAATAAAGAGTACAGTAGAGCACCAAAGTTAAGAGAATTTTTGGATTACTATTTATAGACTTTACAGTGACTGCTGTCTACATAATTAGTATAAAAAGATACTTTTCTTTTTACTTAAAACGCAGCATATTTTATGATTAACAATCAATATTTAGTGAATATATCTCATGGTGGCTATGTCAAAGAGGCTCGGTGGTGCACTACAGCGAGCATCACCTTTCAGAATCATTTCCGTTATCTTTTTGTCATTATCGATCTCTAAATGAACAATTAAAGGTTCTTGACTGCTTGGTATGATCACAAATCTTATTTCTTTATTTTGTTTTGACCAATATGTAGCACCAGTTGATAAAGCACCAGTTCCACAAGCTCCAGTTTCAGCATTCACACCATTTTCAAATGTTCTCAAATATATTGTTGAATCATCGATTGCATAAGCCAAATTAATGTTAAAATATTTCATTGATACAATTGATTGTAGCTTTTCCATATTTAATAAAACAAATTTATCTAAATTGAAAGACTGATATTCATTCAGCGATTGAATAAATTCTTTAGCATCCAATACTAAATGATGACTTCCTACATCAACGTATGTTAATGAAATTGGTGAATGATCATCTATCAGAGTTACAGAGGGAAAATGTTGAATTTTTGTGGGCGGTCTGAAATGTACTCCAACATTGTTTAAATCATCAAGTGTTGTTTGGTATAATCGTCCATTCAAAGTAAGATTTATTTTGTTTGTATTATCAACTAACTTCAATGACAAACAATGTCGTACAGCACATCTTGCCCCATTTCCACACATAACATCGGATGAGCCATCTGGATTGTAAAAGTTGTATTCGCATGAAGAATTTTTAGCATCAACCAGAACCAAAACCCCTTCTGCATTTTTCATATTTAATTGTTCCCTTATACATAAATGAGGAGTTAGTACGGCTAATTGATCATGAACAAATTTTTTATGTCTATCATCAATAATTACAAACAAATTACCAGCACCAGACCAATGTTGAACATCAATCATGACTAAAACATTTTTTATCCAACTTATTAATGCGTATTGTTTACTATCAACTTTTTTCTATTAAATCAGTCGTTATCTAAACTAACATGTGAAAGTGACCAGATAAATAGAATGAAAAAACATTTTTTTTGCTTCACAGCAAGTTTATATTTATAAACCATGAAAGTATTAAATGTCTACGATAAAAAGCTATTCTTACACTTCTAGGGATGTTCTGTTCTCGGTTCTTGTAAAGAACCGGAACTGTGTTTTCTTTTTTAAACCAAGGCTTTTTGACTTGCCTTTCTTTTAACAAAATGAAAATACACTATTGATAAAGCTACAAAAAGATATATTTGCCTGTCATCATTTAAAACAATCCTTTCGTTTACTATAAAATGCATTTTATTTCGTTGAACTCTTATTGTCTGAAAAATTATTTTCCGCTTCTAAGCTGAGAACCGAGAACCGCGATTTCTTTTGTTTCGGTTCTAATTCGAGAACCGAACATCTCTACTTACACTATACGGCAAGAATAGATAAGTTTTTTTATCAAACTACTTTTCAATACTCAAGCAAAAATTTGTGACTTAATTGTACCATAAAAGCGATACAGACGTGACAATACTAACCGAAAGACTTGTTCATCGTTAATTAGACCTTGTTATATTATATTTTAAATCTTTCACGCATGAAACACCGTACATTGAAAGATTTTTCGTATTCATGAGGTGTTTACTTAGTGATAGTCAAACAAATGATGCTTTAAAAACTCTCATACGAGTCGAACAAGATTTATCTTGATTTGAAATCTTTTTCAGTCAGAGATGATCAAAAAGAGGAGGTAATTGTATATACAAACATCTGATATATTTCAATTATACGTGGGATACTTATATCTCTTCCGTATTTCTCTAAAATAACAACGATAATTCAACTTCCAAATTTTTTCTGTATTTAAATACTTTCGAAAAATATTGACAAAAGCAGAACATTATGAAAAATGAAGTGACAAAAAAGTCCACCAGAAACAAAATGCTATTATTCATGCATTAACAACATGAACCGACTAGCTTATAAAAGAATTTAACTAGACAAATGAGAAAATGGAACAATAAATAGCTATTTTACATTCAAAAAAAGATTTCTTTATCTGACCAAACTCTATCGACTTTGAACAAAAATGTACGGGAAAACAACAAAAAACTAACATCAAAGCAAATTGCACAAGAATAAAAAGAAAATTTGTTTTTTAGGAACGCTTTTGATGTTTAGCTTGTAAACGTCTTATTTCAGAAGTTTTGGTTTGATAAATATGTTGACTTCGATCGTCTTTGGTATCCTAGAAATAAACAGATAAACATGCTTGAATCTACTTACACAGCTGCACAAAACCAATGAAGTTTTAAACTGTTTCTTAAAATGTTAAATTATTTTTACAAGGCGACATCTCAGCTATCGTTTTTACGCAGAAAATGACGCATACCTGTTGTTGTTGTTGCTGATTACTCATTTTTACTTTAATATTTTTTTGTTTTTTATTCATTTGTATTTGAATATCCGCGGTTGTTTCAACATGTTGATATTTATACGCTTTCAATGGGAATATTGAATCCGATCGAACGGATGAAGTATTACTACTGCTACTGTAACCAGTTTGAGGAGAAGGATGAGGATCTTGTTCGAAATTGATATCATCAAGCAAATTTTCTTCATCATGTTGATTAGACGATGTACTAATTAAATCTTTCAATGGTTTCTTTGATAACGTTTCACGTATAAACGCTGAGATTAGTTCAGCACCTTTTTCTTCATCATAATCTTCATCATCTTCCATGGGATCATCGTTTTCATCTTCTTCGTTTAATCGATGTCTTTTTGTTGTATGAGATGATGATCTTGTTGTCGAAATTGATGCATTTGATAATGAACGTTTCGGTGGTACACCAAAATGAGGACTATTATAGTCGTTTGATAACATTGACGATGGAATCGTGATGTCATGTGACGAAGAGAATTGAATCGCAGATTCATGAAATTCTTCTCGCATTATCTGAAATTTCGAAAAAAAAGAATAGAACTTTACGGAAATCGCTAACAGATAAATATTAAAACATTTGTCTCTTCACAAACTTACAGGATCATTTGACGAAGATGATGCTTTTACCCGATCGTTTGTAATCGTAGATGAAGATGATGTTGATAAATTAATTTGTTGCGACGTTTCAAGAACAATCGGTGGGTGTGTTAAACGCTTATGTATTAAATCAAACAGTATTTGCTTTCCTTTTTCATCGTCCATATCACTTTCGTTTTCATCACTTGTTGTCTCACGATTGCTACTACTACTATTTTGTTGTTTTTGTTGTTCTTCGAGACTTTCTTCATTAATAATACTTAAATCATGTGGCACTTGACTTTTTCTTAATTGTGCAAGTCTTAAAACATCTTCGACCGTACGACAGGTTCTGTTTGTTCCGTGAACTGATGGTAATGTTAACGAACTCAATGATGAATGAACAGACGAGGTATCGTCAAGGGCGGAACTAGTAAAAATATGTAAACTGTCATCATTTCTCACAGATATATCACATGAGGATAAAAGATCGTCATGTTGTGGATTTTCGTTATAAATTTCGTCATTTTGTTGTTGTTGATTATTGTCTAGTGAATGTACACTATCCATATCGGTATATTCCGATCGATAAATTTTGATTTCATCTCGGCTTATAGAAGATGATGAATGATCATCATTATTATTCAACGTTCTTTCGATAACAGTTTCATTTAATTGACTCGTTGTGCCCGGTGAATTTATACGATTATTAGAGCATTTCATTTGTTCTTCGACAGGACTTTGTCTACCACATGGTGGAGAATCTAAAAAAAGAATTCATAATTTTTATAAACATATAAAACATATTATTTTAAAAAAACTCACCTGGAATTTCAGTGGGAGAAATAATGCCCGATGGATTCGTGCTATGTTCGGACAAATACGTACTATTATGAGAACTAAAATTAATACTAGAACTCGATAATGTGTCCATTGACGTATCTCTTGAGAACATGAGTGGTGAACTTAAAGCACTATTAATTATACTACTGGTAGTACTATTCGAACTACCGTTAAGTAAAATATGTTCTGAAAATGCTGGTCGTCTCAATTGTTTATACGATAAATCATGACTAATTGTATTTTCTATTGATGTTGTTGGAGAAGACGATGATATTGGACGATGTGAAATAATTTCTTTATCGATGTTTTTTAGATTAAATTCGTCGTCGTTATTCATTCTTCATTTTTTTAATCACCATCTAATACCACTGTTTTTAATGACAGAGTGTACACAGTTGAGTAATGTGTAAAAATACTGTGAAAATCTGAAATATACTTTCTTAAAATAATCAGAGTATACACTGTGCACTTTAAAATTCAAATTCAGATCTTGTTTTTCCGTATATCGGGTCAGTTCACAGAATATAAGCTTCAGATGATGCGGCCAGCATCAGATGCGGTATCAGTTCGATTTAACCGTTTTAAAAAAAGAACGCTCTGTAATGGGAGGAAAGCAATTTCGGTATGTAACGGGTATTTTTTGGATATGTAATGGATATTTTCAGTATGGTGAGTACTACCTGTAAAGAAAAACAGTACCATCGGTAGTTTTTAAAATAACTTCTGATAGAAAAGAGCTAGAGAGCTCATGTTTTCACCATTCGAAAGAGGAGATATGGAAGCATGTTTCAAACCCTAAGGTCTTCCACAAGGGCTTCTGCAAAACCTGTTAAGAAAGTCAAGAGACCGCGCGAGTGCAGCGAGCGTTACTTTGTTTCCTTGACTTTAGTCTAGGGTCTTAGGCCTCGTCTACACTACAAAAGTTAACGGAGCTTTAAGCAATTCTATTGGCTTAAACTAACTTTTAACCAATAGAATTCCTTAAAGCTGCTTTAACTTTTGCAGTGTAGACAGGGCCTTACAATACAAAGTGGTTGTCCGTCTGTGCGCAAAATACGGAAAAATGGCTGTCAGATATTCTATGGATAATCGAATCACAAAAGAGATAATATTGAAACAGAAGACTGAAAAATAATTACTGATGCAGAAGGAAGAAAAACTAAGCAAACGTTTGTGTAGTTCGGCGATAGATGTCGCGAGCAATCAGTCCGTTTTGATAACACAAAAAAAGTCATATACGGATAGTTAAACTTACAGAATACAGATAGCCTATCATGGTGAATCAATTTGAAATACTTGCAACCTTCCTTCGGATCTTGAGCGGGTATCTAGAAAAGTTTTTAGCTTTATAGTACATTGTGCCCTTTTTCTCTGGAATCACATAGTTCACAACATTTCTCAGTTATACCGGGATTAAGATACGGTAGGTCTAAATGCTAGGAGTAAAAAAAAATCACCGTAACAATTAACAGGAATCCATATTAATCGATAAAGTCGAAAATCTTCTCAGTTTTCTATCGATTTCTGAGTTATTGTATGTATGTAACAGCGAGTGGTTTGTTTTATGTTGCCTGGAGGTCTTCACAGGGGTTGTAGAAAAGTTTCGGTGTTCTAACAATAATAGGAGATGTTTAGTTTCTACAGCAATTATCTGAAAGCTCGATATAAACTAATTCTTTTTATTTCTCTGGCACAACTGATCCTGGAATGCTTATTGTTTTTGTCAACAGAACAATGGATCCGGTTAGTCTAGTAAGGAAAGGGAAAACTGCCTCCGTCACTTTTTATAAAAAGAAGTATGTACGCAAAACGTGGTTAGAGATTTTTACGAGTACTAATGACGACCAGTTATCAACTTTTATAAAATCGCATGGTGTGTGCAAGCATCGAACTGAAGAGTTTTATGCTGGCTTATCTTCCACGTATAAATGTTCACAATATAGGAAATACCCATTATATTATTATGAATTAAAAGCTAACAAAGTACAGATGGTAGTTAACACAGTATATTCATCAAGTTCGTATTCACCCAATGAAAGTAATGAATCGACACGAATATCATCTTCCATGCGCGATCAAATCCGACTGATCCCAGATGAAATTTTCGGGTAAAAAAACGCGTAATGTGCGTTAATTTTTAACGCATTAAGCGGAGCAAAAATAGTCATGCGCTAAAACGCGCTAAGAATGAAAGCATTTTGATGCATCAGTTGGTGCAAGAATTGCCCCACTTAACGCGTTAAAAATTAACGCACATTAACGCGTTTTTTTTACCAAAAATTTCACCTGGGACACTAGTCATCCTCTCAGCGTTGCTGCCAGTGGTGGAGCGACCGTTTGTGTAAGAGGTGTGTACACCCTTCCTACTTTCAGAAAGTTCTTTGAGAATTTGCTCCGATTTGAGCCAAAACTGCGGGAAACTTACTCCAGGTTTGTGAAAGAATGGAGTGAGTTTACTCCGATTTTGGCAAACTTTTGTTTGCTACTTTTACGGTTTTTGCGCAGATATTTGCCATTTTCTCCAATTTCTGGCCATCTTGGCTATAAAAATACGACAAAATCGGGAAAAGCTAGAGCAAGGTGGAAGACCTCCTTCTCAAAGATGGGCAGATCCAAGTCCCTCTTGAAGTATTATTTGGCAGACTGGGACCTGGATGTTTTTTATCAAGTCCAGTTGTATTCCAGTTAGAATCTATCAAGAATTGCTGCTGGTGTTCCTTTGGTCATTACTTTAATGGCTACCCTGTGTCAGCATCTTCAAAAATTCGATTTTTTTTCTTACCCATCTCTACTCTCTTCTCTTTTCTTTTTTTATGTCTTTCTTTGGTTCTTTGGTATATAACAATGGAAGCGTTTGCACACCTCTGTAATAGCTTTTGTCGCTTTGGATGTAATAACGCTTAAGGATTTTTAATAAAACTGCTTATATAAAAAAAAACTATACAAAGATATTTTCGCGGCTCATACTTGTGTATAAAGCGGGTGGAACTGTGTGTAAGTACTAGAGGCCTGCATGGACGCTGTTTTTCTGTCCATGTCCATCATTTTGTCCATGGAATGTTCGCGTCTTATCACCAGCGTTCAATCGAATTGTTGCTTCGAAAAAAATTTAAAAGTTTTTCAGTTTGTCCATGTCCATCTCTGTCCATGGACAAATTTAAAAAAACTGTCCATGTCCGTAGACGTTCCATAGACATGTCCATCTAATGCAGGCTCTAGTAAGTACCCATTTATACAAACGGCTTCGTTAACCTAAACACGTGTGAAAAGCTAAAATCGCATTATGTTTCTTTAGCACGATTTCATTGTTTTCAAACGTTATAAATCAAAAGAAAACAAACGCAAAAAAAAGAATATAAAAAATGACAAGTAATAAGTCAGTAGAACTCGCTTCCTAATACTATAATCACCAGTGAGAGCATCGATAGTAACGATTCGGTATCATAATAGTTCATTATAACCGTTCTGATTAGATTTAACGAGGGAACATCCCGAAGTGCCTCCTCGGATTTTGGAGAAATACATGGGTCTGGTAGAGCTAAGCGCGCTGATCACAAATATAATATTTTTAGCTACCACCGTTAACTCGCTGCTGAGTTAGACTAGTTTTATTTTACTTTGGTCAAAAAATGACCTACGTTCGATCGATCACAGTTTTTTGCAGATACGTTATTCATTCGTTTAATATGCTGTTTTATTAAGGAACTCTTCATCTTCAATTTGATATACGGGACATAACAATTCGACTTATACTATTTGGGAGACAAATAAGCATTTACTGTACACGTATCTTTTGCTATGCATCGTAATTTAACGCTCCTCTATTTCTGTACGAAAAATAATTTTGTATTTTTAAATATATCAATATGTAGGAAATTCAAAACACCTCCTTATGACATTTGATTTAATGTTTATTATCAGTATAAAAGTATCAGTTAGCTTTCAACTTTATACATTTCTTAATAATCCTACAGACAGAAAGGGTGAAGCAGTATAAATATAATTTCAACGTCCGAATTGTTATGTCCCATATACCAAACTGAAGATGAAGAGTTCCTTAACAAAACAGCATATTAAACGAATAAATAACATATCTGCAAAAAACTGTGATCGATCGAACATAGGTCGTTTTTTGACCAAAGTAAAATAAGTTATAATGCGAGTTATAATGCAAGTAATAAGCGAGTTAACGGTGGTAGCTAAAAATATCATATTTGTGATCAGCGCACTTAGTTCTACCAGACTCATGTATTTCTCCAAAATCCCAGGGGGACACTTTGGGATGTTCCCCTGTGAGCCAGATATTTGATTGTATTATTCCTGTGAATCATAGCTTGAGTTGATCGGTTGTACTAGAAGATTCAGTTCATGTACTTTAGCTAAAAATTAATCATCAGGTATACATGATTCCACTTTTGATCTCATCATTTTATATTGTTCATCCATGATTACTTTCTTATTTTTTTGATTCTAATAGAAAGATAATTAATTCTTTCTCACGTGCATCATCTAGATTATTATTCCTAATAACGATCAAATGTTTATTATTTAATCTTGCATTACTCATCGAGTTTTCTCTGTTTAAGTGGAGAAGAAAGAAGATATGCTGTACCACTCTCGGAAGTCTAATAACTTGGATATTTTTGAGAATGTGACATAAATAATGTGTGATATATCAGAGTAGGATGATACACTAAGAAACCAGGGTTGAGCAATTCTAACTCCAGACTTACAGTTGAGTTGAATGTATGAACAAATTTTAAACTCCGATTTAACCTTTTTGTAGAGGAAGAAAGACGAAGTCAAAAATAGAGCGTATAACGATGCATACAATTATATAGAGAGAACAAAAAAAGAGCGCCAGTTGAGCGTGTTCTCTTCTAGAGTGGGTCTCTAATGCTATATCAATGTAATGCGGTGTAATTTCAATTTGGTGTAAATGTTTGACACAGGCATCGAGAAAAAAATTTCATAATCTAATCTATCATTTAATAACAAGAGTAACAGACAATTCATAGATAAATAAAAAAATTATAGCGATAAAGAAAGTTGATTAAGAGAACATAGCTCTAGTTTGTTGAGCACGTTGTACAATCCAATCGAAAACAACATTTGCTGTATCCGATGGAAGTTCTTCATCAGGATAAATCTGAAATAGACAGAGAACAGTGACAATATTAACGAACAACTTGTACAAACTTACAAGTACTGGTTCATAACCCATTTTTTGCAATTGTATTACTTTTGCACAAATAATTCCAATGGGACGATGACGTTCATTCGAGCAAATTTCATTATGGGACAAAACTTGTATAGCATAACTAAGGGAAAAAAATGGGCATATTCAAAATGAAATTCATCATAATCGAATGCTTTTAGATGTTGCGGATAATGTTTGTCCGATACTCTTTGATCAAAGTATATTACTGAATAGGTAACTCTCTACAAAAATTTAAGACATACACTCAAACTACTCATAGATCTAGAGGAATAATTAAGAATGTTTTATTAACATTAATTTTTTAAACGTATATAAAATTTACTTTTTTTTCTAATAGATACTTACGTAGTATGTTCATGCTCGTTTTCTTCGAAAAATGCTACACCTCTTTTTGATAATAATTGTGGGATCATGTTTTTGTCTAATCGAATGAGAATATCTAAAGATGAAATCCCATTGCAATACTTCAATAGAAATAATAAAAGAACTTTGACTTTTTTACCTGGTAACTTAAAATGTTTCAGAACAAATGCACTTTTAACAAAAAAGGTGTTTGATGTGACGCATGAATATAATTGATTGATAATCGCTAGATAATTTTTTCGTTTCTTTTTTTCTATGTTCCAACTGCCAAAAATATGATTTGGTAATGAATTTACATAATTCTATAAAGAACATACTGAAATAAATTGTTAACAGGTAGAATATGAGATCTAGAGCAAAAATGTAGCAAACAATTTACTTGATCGAGTAACGATGATGTTATATTTGGATGAAAAACTTTGTATGATTCAGCAATAAAATATAATTTTTCTTTCATTTTTGATTCTAAATATAGAAGATAATTTGTAATAGTTCAAAATGTAATCAATCTATTGAAAAAGTTATATACCAATCGATATTAGTCTTTATTACCTTTTAATGTTGATAAAACATCATTATTAAAAATATACTGCAATAGATATTTTGGAAATAATCCAATTTCAGCCATCGGAGCCAGTACATTCACTAAACGGTCTGGTTTTACTTTAAAATAATCTGATTTTGAATATAACTCTATGAGATCAAGGTAATGTTTGTAATATTGTTCATTATTAATAGACTTATAATAACAGTAACCGATATTTATTAAAGTATTCATTATTTTTATCATGTCTTTTGAACGATACTGTTGTTCATTTGAAGTTAACGAAAATGATTTTTGCTTTAAACGTACTGCTTCATATTCAATTAGTTGAAAACAATTTTTATAAAATCTTGATGACCAATAATTAAACGAAGATAAATATAATCCTAAACGCATAGCCAGTATAACAACATCTGTATGAAGAGCATGATCAGAATGTAATGAATGTTGTTCATAAGAATCGTTGAAACGTGATGATAATGTCTCACTTATTCTAGCGTCTGAATAGCCTAAAAACAAGATATAATTAACGATTGGATATCGATACCACCCGAAAAGTGTGTATCCAGACAGATATTTTAGTAAAAAATCGAACGTGAGATGTTTTTTAAAAGTTCAATAGAGGGTATAAACACTGATAATGTGGCTCATCTTTCACCAAGTTGCTCTAAAAATGTAGCAAAGGACAAAAATATTTATTTTTGAGTAATAAAGAAATGCTCGGCGACCAATATTCTAGATTATGAATAACAGCTCCCACGTGGCTATTATGACGAAAGAGCTATTGAGTTTGACGCAAAAATTCCAGAAAAAAATTTTTTTCTCGTGTGTTACGCTACGCCAATTTGAATGAATACACCAACGATAGACACCAAAGGAAAGCAATTAATAATTTATTTTCGATAGGAAATGGGAATGGAATTTTTTTTCAACTATAATAGTCGACAGAACTTGACGAGTTGATCAAGAATATATGCGAAGGAATCCTTGAAAGTAAAAATAACCGTTGTTTTTTATCAAAAAACCACTTCGGATCTAAGCTTTTAGCGCTATTTGTCACGGTATTTCGCTTTTTTCTCTACTATTAAAGCTTTAATGACAAACCATTCCTGGTCTGATGAATAGTCCGTGAAGCGAGCTACAAGAATATGTATAAATGTTTAAAACGTTTAAAGTAAACATTTAACGTGTTTTTTGATCGTTAAAAACGGAATAAAAACGCGTGACAACAGAAAATTTTAGTAAAGCTGGAGGTGAGACTTGGCTACTCAGTAGGACTTGATCTAAAAACAATTGAAAGTCTAATAAAGGAAATACAAAACTGATGATCTAAAATTGAAAAAGAACGAAAAGATGATATTTCTTCGATATTTCGATTGTGCTTATATACTCGGCTGACCGCAAAACAAGACGGTGAATGCCCAGGGCTAAAAAAGTTGACAAAAAAAACGCCTTAAATGTTTCAAAACCACCGGTTTTCAAGAATATGTATAAATAATTGATTCGACTGGTTAGGGTCATTGTAAAATCTCCAGCATAAGCTCAACAGCACTTTAATGATCTACATTTTTTCTATTCTTTTGCTTTTTTCGTCACCAAAGAAATTTTAATCACAAATCATTTCTAGTGGAATGAAAAGAGCTACAAGAATATTCTTGTAGCTCTCTTCACGGACTATTCAAGACTAGGAATGGTTTGTCATTACCCAGGCGAAAAAAAATCGTTAGAAACGGCACGAAAAACGCGTTAGCGAACGATCGTCAAATTAATCGTTTTCTGGCGTTTTTGTTGAACGCGTTTTCTAACGACGTTAAAATGGCCGTCGAAACGCATTTATTTTATATAAAAACACGTTTTAACGTGTCGTTTCAAAATGCGTTTACAAAAAAAAGGATACGAAGTTATATCATTTTAACGTCGTTAGAAAACGCGTTCAACAAAAACGCCAGAAAACGGTTAACTTAACGATCGTTAGCAAACGCATTATTCTAAAGTTTTGAACGACAAACAACGCGTTTAAATGGCTCTTTTAACGATCGTTCGCTAATACCGAAAACCGAATTTTCAAACGAATAGATAAAAGAAAAGCGCGTTCAAACGAGAAAAAAAACACGTTTAAAGGACCAAAAAACGCGTTTAAACGACAAAAAAAACGCGTTGGTTTTGAAACATTGAACGCGTTTTTCGGTCGTTAAAAACGAAAAAAAACGCGTTTTCTTGTCAACTTTTTTACCCCTGGGTAAAGCTTTATGTTTCTTACTTACTACTTCAACTAGTTAGTTTTAAGTACGCCATGCAACCTTCGAGCCGTTACTTACTGATAATTGATGGACTAACAAGAGCCTTAGTGTCTTGCAATTACTACGTTAATATTTTACCTGATAATGTTAAAATTTTTAAAAAATTTTGTTTATCAACAGCTTTGAGTGACTGTCGATCAGACGTTTCACTCAACAATAGCATAGCTAAACGTTCGATCAAAAGTTGATTTCTGATTGGTACTTGAAAACGATAATAAGCGCTTGAAATTAGACTTAATTCATATGTAGTTAGTTGTTGAATATCATCGTACGTTAATTTTGATTCTAATTTATTGACAAACGTTTGTAATGTTTGAGTCGCCACTGTATTTCCATCAGCATATATCCATTGTCGATGAAGTAATAATAATACAAGAAGTTCAATAATATTAACTTGATTTGTATCAATCTCTTGATTTTGAATATGTTTCAAAAGTTTTGACGTTAATGATTGTAAACGTAATCCTTGACCGTATGAATAAAATAAAAAATCATTTAAATGTTCTAAAGATAATTTATCATACATTTTAACATTTTCTTTCATATTCAATTGACAAAGTAGATCATTTATATTTTTTGAATTGACCGTTTTTGTTATTATTTCATTGAATGTTTTCATTAAAATCAATTCTGTATTTTTAAGAACAATGTGAGATAAACGTGTTTCATCTTGAAAATTATCTAAGCGTTTATTATAAAAATATTGATAAGCACTATTTTCAAATGTACGTGATATTGATCGATGATCATCATAATCAATTTTAACAATATGATTATTTTGTAAATGGCGAGTAAGCAATAGTAAACAAGAGTTTATTTGAAAGCAAGCGGGTGATATAAGTTGTTTTTGATGTTGGATTTGAAAACAGTTTAAAAGTACTTTTCGTAGCATCTGTAAAAGAACAAGAGAAAGAAATAGTATATGCTTCTCTGCATTACCTATGAGCTGACCAAATTCAATAACATCCAATAGAGTAAGATAAAAAACACTTGTACTACGCTAAATATTTGTTCAGAAGATGTCACCGTACACATCGGAAAACGTTCTTACATAAACTGTATGAGTATATCTTTCATATATACCAAAAATTAAAAGTCTCTTATCAACATTGTTCTTCAACAAAGCACTCTATCAGGCTAGATTTTTCCAGTGAGATAGTCATTCTTCCTTCACAACATATGCCAGACGTTTACACAATGCATTCTTGAAACAAAAATAAAATAACAACGTAAACACAACATTAAAACAGAATTCAAACAGAAGAAGAATATGGATCTTGAATCCTTCTAAATACTGCTAAATATTTATCTCCATTGTTTCTTGTCACTTTTCGTCCTTCTTCTGTTGAATTTAAAACATGATCAATGCACACATCGTTCTTCAATTCTGGATCATCGTTTTTAACATGTTCAAACAATGGAAATTCATTAAAACATGAACACATCCATAAATGTAAATCTTTAACGTCTGTACACGTATAAATTAAACCGTTTATTTTTAATACATATGCATATTCGGCTAATAGTTGTTTATTTATAATACGCCATTTATGTTTAGCTTTCTTAAAATGTGGATCAGGATAGAGAAAAAACATTTTTGTTAATTGTCCTTTTTGAAAATAATTAGGTAAATATTTCATAGCATTCGTTCTTAAACAACTAACATTCATATATGCTCCAGGATTCGAATTTCTTAATGCTTTAATACGATCAACAACATAATCGTAAACTTTGACACGTATTTCCATTCCTAACATATACATATCAGGAAATATTGGTGATAGCGATATTAACAGACCACCATAACCACAACCTATATCAACAAATTCAACATGTTTGTCTTCTTGTTTTCGCTTTTTATTTGATATTTCTTCTTCATCATTATTCTCATATTCATTAACAATTTTTTTACTAATTGTTGGATAATATGTAGACCAATCAATATCGTTTGGTGTCAACGGATAATCTAATGTATGATCAGATAATGGATTAGCATGAGCTCGTTGACGATAATAACGTTTCTGTGGTAATGACATTATTTAAGTCTAAAGTTAAGTCAATTTCATTATATAATTTAATAATAAAATGAGAAAAAACTGACTAGGAGATTCAGAGAAACGTTCAAACCCAAAACAGCAAGATGAAAACTAATAGAATAGTTCAGTTTTCATACTAGAAAACCTTTAAAAATCAATAGCATTTCCGAGGAAAAAAAACATAAAAACATGTCCAGTACATAAACACAGTGAATTTCATTTTTTAGAAGGAGAACCCACATTCGTAATATAATTTAGTCTAACCTTTAAAGAAAACGTATTGTATATATATGTCGTATCAAAGTTATAACTTCGATAAACATGCTAACTTCGAGACGGCCTATGTATGTTTGAGATTAGCTAAAGTTAATTAGGTCAGATAAGATTAGGCTAGTTTGTGGATCCGTATTATTGATTATTCCCTTTTTTTCTGCCGCTTCACTTCAATAGACCACGATCTCAAAACAATTGAGAAAAAGAACAATAGCTATTTAATTGTGTAATGAAAAGTGCCTTATAGTAATGTAAAAAAATAATATATAACTAAAATTTCTTAAACATATTATAAAAAGCATATAAAAAATGATAACTTGAATAAAAATGAATAAATTTGAATAAACATTTAAACGAAAGTCTCCACTTCATTTTATTGCGATAATTCATCTATTCATAACCAGCGATCGAACGTACATTATACTAAAATTTGACGATTTGACGTGTGTACACGCATTAAGAACCCATTAATGATTCAACTTTATGAATGTTGAGTCATCAGAAAAACAAGTTTTAACGCATATGAACGCACAAATCTTCATAAAACAAAAACATTTAACTTTAATTAACAAGTGACGTTTGTTCGCTTGTTTAAATGCATTCATGTAAATTTTCGTATTCTAGTCCAAAGTAATTCGTTTTGGATCGTTAAAGTTTCCACGGAGAACCATAAATATTCATATTTTTTTATAAATTCGTATCTATAGATTAGATGAATTTTCATATCTACTTCAGAATGGATTTTCTAGAAAAATAAACAGAAAAGATGTAGTTAAACACATTTAGACAAAAAATACTAACCTACTTAGCGAGCGTTAATTGGAAATTGATCAAGAAAATTAATGTTGGTTGTTGTCATTCATATCGTTACTTGGTACCATATAATATTACTGTTGATATTGTTTAATAGTAACATACTACACTGTTGCTCGAGATCAATAAACGTGAAATACATATTGACTGATTATAGCACAGTCATAAAAGTTCCTATGAAAAATAAAACAAAATTATGTTTTTCTCTTATATGATGGTAGATGAAAAAAAGTACATATTTGCTTGGAAAGAAAACAGTTTTGGCTTGATATGACTTTAGAAGTAGATAAAAAGATGAATGATGCACAATGCATCTGAAAGAAATAAATAGTTATTAAAAACAATGGCTTGTGATGTTGTACTTGCTCGTGGGTGTTGTATTGATCGCGAGAATAAATCACGCACGAATGAAACTTTTTCATTCGATGTAATGATAAAAAAATCGTATCTAAGATCCCTTACAAATCAACCACATTTAGTACAGTCTGTATTAATAAACATTTATCTGTGTCCACCGTCTCTTGTTAGTAGAATCACAAGGTAGCGCTATCAAACAATACGTTTAACTTAGACGTATTTTACTTGATTAAGTTTAACTGGCTATACTCGCTAACCATTCCTAAATGATCTTTCGCTTCTATTCATTTTCGGACTACGACAACGTAATTTTAATGTTACTTTTTTTATCAAAACTTTGACTTAAATAGCCTTACTTAATCTGAGTATAAACTACGAACAAAACTAACAAGCACTTTTGTCCATTTTTATCACCTTTTTTTATTTTAAATTATCATGCATAAATAAAAAATAAATTTTTCAAAACTAACCTTGTCTTTTTTGTTTTTAGTAGAAGCTATCTTGTGGGAAAACTCAAGATATTTTACTTATATCCAATTTATATTTTTATATCAAGTTGTAAAATATGTTTCATTTCATCTAATAATAAATATTTGATTAAACTTTGTGGCAGACGTTCGTTTAAATCTGTTACAGCTACACTAATTGGACACGGTAGTTGTTTTCTTATCGTTAATCGAGCAATATCTTTCAGTTTTCGCGGTGTATTCAAATAAGTTTCATAAAATTTCACAAATCGTTCATAATCATAAATAGCATTCATTAACAATGTATTGTCATATGTTTTGACCGTGGGCGTTCGAAAACAACATTGATTGGCACGAAGAAGTGCTCCAGCATAAATAGCCATTTTAGCATGATCGTATAAAGCATAATGAATGGCACGAGTTAAAAATGTATTACCAAAATTATTCCTCAAATCTAATGATGTTCCTTCAACAAGTAGTTCATGCGCTATATAAAATAAGACAAAACGAATGAATGATTAAATTATATTAACAGTTTTAAGAATTAATCATTTTACCTAACGATAAATTTCCTCCACCGTGCAGCGTACAAAGGAGTGGAGTTTCATGACAGAAGTCGCGATGATTCATATCCACACGTTTATGAATTAATAAACGACACATTTGAAGCGCAATATCAGTTGAATATGCAGGTTTTTTTGTTGTTAGTTCACAAGTCAAATGAAGAAGATTCTTACGATGTAACGGTGTTACTACGGATAAATCTACACCTAATAGAACAAGAAATTATTAGTCAAGTACTAGATGGATGAGTAAACGACTTACCATATTCGATCAAAGAATATAACAGGTCCATTTCACCGTCAATAAGAATCAAATGAACCAACCATAAATGTTGAGGATTATATATGTTTGGATTTGCACCATGTTTCAACAATAAATGAAATATATCTTTACTCATCTAACAAAATAAAACACGAGAAAATAGTATTATATAAAAGATTATTACTACAAGAAATAACAAATTATATTAGTTGGTCTTCTTCTGTGCTCAAATTGCTTATCTTAGTAAAGTATATTTCTCCGTTCTGGTATATGTTATTTAGAAGTTGGCCAGTAGATAGTAATCAGCAATTTACCTCAAATAATTCTCCAACAAAGTCCTTTCGTTTTCTACACATAACATAAGCTTCAAGTAATGGGATAATTGTAAACGATCGAACAGCATGATTAATATCAGCACCCAATTCAATAAGTTTTTCTACGAATATTTTATCACTGCGTCGAATGGCAACAATCAATGCAGTAATTCGTGAATTGTTGAAACCATTAATGGGAAAATCTAAATAATAAATATTAATCGTATCGATACACTAGTATAAACTCGGATAAAGTTATAAAACGTACCCAGCGCTTTTAATAGCGGCAATACTATTAATTTTTCGTGTTTTGTAGCAAAAGCAAATGCATCCGCCCGACTACGAATAATGAACTCTTTCAAATTTGAGGACAAGATATTTTCAATATTATGCAAGTCTCCATTACTAACGAAAGTTAGAAATCGAGCAAACTCTGTTTGCAAATGTTCCATAGTACAGAAAATCGATTTGTTCGTTAGACTATGATCTAGTTTTTTCAATTTGAATTAAAAAAAGATACCACTATGGCTATTTGCGGTAATTTTAAAGTATAATTTCAAAACTAGAAGAGAGAATGCAGAAATAATCAGTAAGTTTTCAATTTAAAATGGTTGGAGGGCGAATAGACTTATCACGCTTGGATAAAAATTCTTCAAGGCACGCTCATGGAACATAACTCTACGAAAAAGGGCATATTGATAGAGGTTTTTCGATCATTCTATAATTGAGCAAAAAAAGTCCAATCAACAAGCAACAATAACAAAATCGTCTCTGGTAGACTAAAAGCTTTATAAAACAACAACGAGTTTTTAATACGTACTTTAAGTAAAAATGTCATAAATCACAATCAGATTTAGATGTCTACACTTGTTATTTGTTGACAGCTTTTTGAATAGTTTCGTTCGAAAGAAAGTGCGTTTTTACATGTGACACGTCACTAGAGTCCTGCGGGTTTAACCCGATCCCGAAAGCTTTTTTTCGGGTTCGGGACGGGTTTCAGTTCATCTGGGATCGGATTTGTTTCCGATCCCGATTCTTCTAGTTTGATATAGGGAAGATAAGAGACAATTCTAAATAAATAAAAAAGAATGGAAAATAAGGAAAACGGACAGGTGTTTCGCACTAGACGTACAACCGACCAAGTGAATTTTATTTTTGTACCTCTACGAGTAAAAATTTACTAACGTTAAAATGAAAGAGAGCACTACTGAACTAGAAAAAAAATGTTTCGGGTTCGGGACGGGTTTTATTTGAAAAAATCGGAAACGGGTTCGGGATCCCAAAAAAGTTCTGGCAGGTTCGGGACAGGTTTCAAATCTAAGAGACCGGATCGGATTCGAAAATCTTAAACCCGCAGGACTCTACACGTCACCTAATCAAGAATAACTTATAGATCTAAGAGAATAAAAGCCTTTGTAATCAACGCTAAGTGTCTCGTCCGCTGAACATTAAGCTGCAACGAACCAGAATAGATATTCTTCATAGCATAGGCAATTTATCGAAAACCATGATTAACCTAAAAACGAAAAAGTATCATTATTCTCTTGGAAATAGGATAATATTCTACATTACATTATTATCTTGTTATTTTAGCGACGAACTGCAAACCAAAAGTCTTTTAGATCAAAAAGGTGTATCAAGATGCCATTTTTATATTACAGAACAACCAGAATTATCTGTAGTGTTAGAGAAATTTTTGTCTGTTTACTCTTATTCTCTCTTGCGCACAGACAAAATTTTTTATTGTACAAAACGAATATGAGTGTGTGTAATGAAAACATTTTCTATTATGAACTATAGACTAAGGTGAAGTACAATTCAGTTTTGCATTGTAAAATTTGACTATCATTGCTTATCATGCAATTGGTTAGTATATGTACAATAATGATTAAAGTTCCCTTTTACTAAGTGAGGGTACAAAAAAAATGAGATAGCAGCTACAAAGCCGACCAAAGTGTTATAAATGTCATTTACGAGGGAACCTCCTTCCAGATTTTTCATAGAAAATAATTTTTTTCTTTAGTTGACATGTGTATTAAACGAACTTGCACGAAAGGAGTAATTCAGAAAATGTTGATGAGAAAAGTTTTTTGAGACGACAAACCAAGGGGGAAACAGCGGACTCCAGACTTCAACACGCCAACTGACTCCACTTGACTCCAAATGACTTCAATTGAATTCAACTGACTTCAACTGACTCCACTTGACTCCAAATGACTTCAATTGAATTCAACTGACTTCAACTGACTCCACTTGACTCCAAATGACTTCAATTGAATTCAACTGACTTCAACTGACTCCAGACAAGTCATATCTGACCGAGTCTATTGGCCTTTTTTTAAAAACTTGTCATTGTTGTATTCCCATGCTAGAACAAATGTCGTGTTATGAAATTCGATTCCCAAAAACAGAACAAATTTACTTTTTCAAGGGCGTCAATTCCCATAGCAGAACAAAAAAATCTGCTTTATGGGAATGTCCTCCCGGAAAATGGAACACTTTTGAATCTGTTTCGGGAATTGAATCCTTTGATAGAGCAAAATGTTCCGTTTTGGGGAATAAACCATTAACGAGTTCATACTAGCTCACAGCTCAAGGGAGCTAGAGCTCGTTGAAAAGCTAATGTCTTTCACAGTTGAAATACGCCATCACATCCCCGGAGCCCATCAGACTCCATCGAATCTCATAGGATCTTTTATTTTACCTTCTGAGTACACCACATCAGGTGACTCCACTTGACTCCAAGTGACTTCACAAGACTGGGACCCCATCTAGTCTGCTATTTCTCTCGTGGGCTCCACCCTATCACCTGATTCCACCTCATCAATTAACTCCAACGCATCAAGTGACTTCACTTGACTCCACTTGACGCCAAATGACTCCATGCGTCTGGAGTCTGCTGTTTCCCCCTTGCGACAAACTCATGGCCATAAAGAAATACTGCCTCGACTGTTTCATGCGTTTTTTCTGATCAACACTCAACCACTCATGTAGCACTATATTAGATTGACCGTGTGATGGAAACAAGGCGATGCTACTGGTATATAATGATTAATCTTCTTCTTCCGTCCTATTATCATCATCAATTCAATGTATAGGAGTGAATGACAGAAAGAAAACGAAAGATAATTTTTTATATATATAACTGTTATACGTACATCTAACTGTCTCTGATGAATCAAAAACAGTTAGATGTACGATCAGATACTTTTATAACAATTTGAGATCCAGCCTTAGGAATTTAAAAGTATGTCACTCAATTCCGCTGTGATGCTAGTTTATAGTGAATTTCGCTAAAACAAACATAGACAGCAGCGATTCATTAAGAAAGTTTTGCATAGGGAATGATCATTATAGTCTAAGAAATTGAGAACGGAGGTCCAGAAAGCCAAACGCTTTTTGCGCTTTTCTGGTCTCACGCACGTGGGAACAAAATATCAGGTCAAAAGCGATCTGGGAGGTTCTCTGATTAATCAAAAAGTAGACAGACCATGAACTTTCACGAGAGTGTGAGAGAGAGTGCTGATGAATGAGTTTGTTAATTGTTAAAATTAATTTTCTATATATTATGGTCATTATGTATTAACGAATGAAATTGGTGAAATAAAGCCGAATCACATCCTTGGTGGTCCATTGATGAAGTTTTCCAAATAAACTTATGATATGTCTACTAATTTAAATGGTCATTGAAAATTAATTTTAAACTAGATGATTAAATCACACAATTTGTATTTTTCGTAACATTTAACCATCATTATCACCACTACTTTTCCTTTTTCTTACCAACACAAGAATTTTTTTATGTTTGCTAAACGAATTATCCTTATACAGAAAATTTTCTAGGCGAATTGTGCTTTTTATTGCACTTGACATCGTCTGCCTGCTTGCTCCGACGGTCGTCCGGGAAAAATTTACTGATTCGGGAAAATTTTTTTTTGGAAATATTTTGTAAAGGCAAATTCTATTCGTGAATTATGTCGGGGAATTTTCTGACAAACTTTTTCCGTCGGGGAAATTTCCTAATCTCACGGGTCAATTCTGTACCTCTGTCATCTACTCAACACCCATTAGATGTTATGTTTTAAACAGACAGATTTCATCCGCACTCGATTAGTTGTGTTGTTCGTTTTAATGTTTGTTTTACAAATAGTTTTCATTAGTCATACCTATCTAACTTATAAATAGCCCGGATACTTTCTTTTTATCCATGTGATTACTGTTTTCTTGTCTAGTAAAAATAATTTATTTTTGTTTTTGTTTTAGCTGTTCGACGATGGCATATGTAGCTTTGTATGCGCCTTTTCTCTTCAAAAAAAGTCCAAGATGAACTCTCAAGTTCACGATTATGCTCTAAAACCGATCTTTAACTCAACTGATTAACTTGACAGACAAGCTGTAGCTCATTTTCTACATATGAAAACTTGTTTAGTCCAGAAATATTCTTGTTTCCTTATTCTTCTAGATAGAAAACAATAATATCTGGAAACTTGAAACATTTAATTGAATCAGCATTACAGCATTAGTATTGCATTCAAAGAACATAAATGACTTGAAAATAGGATAGGTTTTTAGATACTTTTTATTTCAATTTTCAACTTTAAGTATTAATCTATGTAAACAATTATTGAGATAGGGTTTCGCGAAAACAATTTTGAGAGTTCAGTGTCATATGCCTTAATGTGCATAATTTGAAAGAAAATTTTCGCTTTTCCTTTCTCTTGACCACATGACAACTGATTTTCTGTATAAAAGAAAACTATGTTACATCCTGATTTCTGTAAGTGATATTAAAAAGAAGATAAAGCTCTGTTATGACGACAGATTCTATATCACGTTAGTTACCTTTTGGGTTCAAACTTTTTTTCCTTTCTACGCACATACCAACCGTGTTTGTATGAAAAAAGAATTTAAATATTATAAACTTAATCGGAATGTTAAAAATGCATTAATTGTTGAGTGGCGATTAGTTACTTATTTTATCATATGATTAACTGATCTGTGACCATTACATTCTGTACATATTTATACTCTTTGCATTCTAAACATATCAATCAGCGTCAATGACAAAAAACTGAAAGACAAGCAGTTCGGATTCATTATGTATAATCATTATTTTCTCTCGTTGTATTTTTGAATTTGTTGGAAGTACATATTTTAATGAAAATTGATATTAGAATTTTAGAAAGGGGAAAGTACACATATAATTATTAAGGAAAAAATATTTGAGTAGAATGTATCATCAAATGACCATATACTTTCGTCTATAAATAATTAAGAAAAAAAATATTTGGGAATTTTTTCTTATAATAGATGAAGAGAGACAATAAGTAGAACAATTTTTAGAACAGGTTTTATGAGAGAGTGTTTTATTAATTGGATAGATCGATATCAGAGATCAGCACAGGCCGGATCGGATCAAGGATTTTTTTTTTTTGGGTAACATAAGAGACGAAGAAGGCCATTTTTATCAAGAAATTTCAAGAGTGATCGGGCCGGGCTAGATAAATTTAATCTCCAGTGGTTCGAACCGGGCTTGGTTCGGAAACTTCCTTCATCGGACCAGGCCTGGTCTGAAATGTTTGACCCGTGCGAATCTCTGGTCGATATATAATATTAAAAAAAAAGAGTCATACATTTTCTCAGTAGCTTAAAAACATTTTATATACTATAATTAATAAAAACCTTTTAACTATAACAAAAAGGTATTAGAAAATTGAAAAATTTGCTAAAGCCACGTTTTTAGAGTAAATCTTTAACAGATGAATATTGATGAATATTATACACTGCCTATATTAAATTGAAAAACGTTTACAAAAATGACATCATATTCCGCTGTAAATTTTTTTTTTGTTTCTGATGTCATGACGTCATGTTTACACATTCATTTTCTTTTTTTGGCAAATATATGAGTTCGTTTCAAAAATAGATCGAAGAAAAAAGAAATAAAATGTATAATTGTAGAAAACAAAAAACAAAAATTAGGAAGTAGAATAACAATTCTTTTTACCATATCAAACTATGTCCATTTGAAGAAGAATTATGTTTTATAAAACCAAAAAAAAAGTTTTCTAAAAAGAAAACAAAAAAACGAGAGAATAAACTAGTTTTTTTTTTTTCTGTCGATTTGAAAATAATAAAGAACTAACAAATATCTCTTTTCGTACAAATGCATATCTTTCTGTTCTCTTTCTTTTTTTTATCGACGAAAAAAATGTCGACACATGGGATATCTTATGTGGAAGGAGATATCTCCTTTATATTTGCTAAATTTCGAATCACACAACCATTTTTTTTTCTTTTACGATGGTATTTTTTTTTTTTTTTTTAATACAAAGAAAAATAGACCACGGGATTCATGATAGAGCGCGAGAACTACATCACAAGTCATCATTAAACCTCCGCACTTTTAAAGTCACCACAAAAAAAATTTATTCGACAAATAATCCACTTTTTTTTCTTTTTTCTATTCTGTTTTTGGCTGTCAATGCCACAAAACAAAACAAAACATACGAAGAAACGTAAACGTGACAACGCATATCACACTTTAAATAACGTCGTTGTTGAAAAGAAAAAGAGAGAGAGAGAGAGAGGAAACGGAGAAGAAAAAAAGAAAACAACTCGAAAAAATCTTGAATAGACATAGTATCATGCGATTATATCTCTATGTTGGTATGTTTTCTTTAGGAAAATAAAAAAATAGAAAAACACAAAAGAGGGTGGTGTTAATGATCACGTTCAAACATGCATAAGAGAGAGTAAAGTCGTATGATATATATATATATTTTTTTTTTTGTACTAGTATTTTTTGGTTATATCTACTCTATATCTATTTTGATATTTTCCTCCTTAAAAAAACAACACACGTATATGCATAACAACAATAATGATAGAGAATGAAAGAGAAATAAAAATAGATTTCATCGCATGCTTTGTATTATATTACGCAACAGAGTTGTTCTTCCTTTATTACCTAATAATTGTAAATCAATAATGATGATATTTTATACAGTAGGTTTTCGATAATAATAATTATTATAATTGTTTATAACAGAACATTTCGTCTTGTCACATCAACATTAATAAAGTATAAAATATCGAGTTATAGGTTTGTACGTTTATTGCATGCTAAATTAAAAAATACAGTACAAAATATACAATGCTAAATGTGAGAACAGGATATGTTTTAGAGAATATAGTAGTATGTATGATTAAGAGATTCGAGATTAGTTAAGCAAAGCATATACCTATCGAAAGAAGGGGAAAAAAAAGCTGACGCCTGTTTTATAATTCTATCCTAACAGCTGTCTGCGATGATTTAGTAATGTTTTACAGTGTACTCTGGGTAGTTTTTAGTATTTATGCATTTTATTACATTTATTTTTTTCAGGTTCAGGACAACATTGTGACTTTGTAGTATAGAATATAACAGTATAAATGTTGAGGAGTTTAAAAGTAATTGACATATACTCAATGAAGTATCAACTATTTCAACTCAATAAGTTGACATTGACTGAAATAGTTATAAATTCTTCAATGAATGTAAGAGAAATGAAAGGCTGTACGCGAAAACATTGGATATGGTAAACGTTCTACTGTGTCTATCTCTCTTCAAGAAGGAAAATAAATCCTTCTAACAGTAAAACAGTGTAAGTTTGAAATAGAATCCAAAGATATTTATGATTTGTTTTACTTTTATGTTGTATCCATTATTTTATCACCTCGTCGAAAATAAACTATCTCAGATATTTACTATGGTGTCAGATATCTCCTAGCATTCTTCTCGTTCCTTCTATTAGTAATTGAATATTTTATTTAGGTAAAATTGGAAATAATTGCAAAAGTATTATTCAGTTCTATTCGACTTTTTTAGTTTTTAAAGAAAAAATAATAAATCTTTTCGACATATCTGTTATTGTTGACTTTTTGGTTCATCTATTTCTTTTTTTTTTTGTAGAGGTCGAGTATTATGATCAATCTGACCTAAACTGTTCTTTGTTATTTCTTAAATATTCAATTTAATTAATTTCTGTTTTATAACTTAATTTGCACATAAAATTCAAGGTGCAATGGCATACGAAAGACGATTATCGTCTGCAAGTGATTCGTCGGCAGATACAGCACAATCAACAGAGTCAGCTACTACAAACGAAAAGATCTCATCCTTATCATCATCATCCAAGCACAAACAACAACACGAACAACAACTTATTACTCATCAATCACTTCATTATACGCCCACATTTACAACAAATGAATCAATAGTTACACTTGACCAAAAGCAGCCACTAACTAGGAGTCTAACGACAACAACAACAACAACACAAACAACTTCTTTGAAACGTAATACATCATCTCTGTTAGCTTCACCAGCTGAACAGTTACTGGCACGGACAAAAAATACATTTGTCGATCTGAATCCATATTTTCAATGTTCATCGTTACCCAGGTGAGTGTAAAGAACATCAATATCATTTTCTTTTTGTCTCAGAAATTTTTCCATTAAAATCCTCAAGTACTGCGAGTAAATCTCTATTTAAGTGTGGATCTGTCTCTCTTATACATTCTCAAAAGCTTTCTCCCTCTAAATGCTAATGACAGAAATAAATGCATTGAAATACTGATTACCTTTCTAATAATCTTTTTCTCTCTTCAGTCATTGGAGAAAAAATAAATCGTTAAGGTTTGTATTAAAACCAAAACCAGATATTGAAATTAAATCAAATACACGCGTAATGATATTAGCTGGAAATGAATTTAATCCGTGTGCAAGTTTAAAAAATAATATTAGCTGGTTTCGAAATGGACAAGCCGAATTCAATGATTTAAGATTTCTTGGTGCTAGTGGACGAGGTAAGATTAAATATTTAATAAAATCAATTCATGAATTCTTTCTTGTTATATTCTAGGCAAAAAGTTTACATTGACGATATTTGTTGATACAACTCCGCCTCAACAATGTACATATCGACGTGCAATTAAAATAACTGTTGATGGCCCGAGAAAGAAACGAGACATGAGTATGTTGTGTAATTTGTTTAACAATATATAATTGAATTAATTTATCTAAATTTTATATTTATAGAACATAAAGCTGATTCGAATTCAATTCAAGAGAAACGAGAAGAGGATGATTCCGATGGTGATTCAGACCATGAACCATCAAACATATCAGATGCACAAACAGAAACACGTGCTGTTACACAAGGTTTGTTCCTATTTTTTCTATTACGGAAGATTTAATTCATTTGTTTTTTTGTCATTTTTAGCATCATCTGGTTTAATGATTTTAGCGGCAGCTGCTGAGCAAAAACGACAAGAAGTACTAAATGAAGGTAATACAGTTACTCTCCAAATGTTCATAAAATAAGTTATTCTTTGTTCTTTAGATGATAAAGATCACCATTCAAATTCAATATCAATACCAATGGACATTTGTCCACATACAACATCTGTGTATCAATGTCAATCTGGTTCTATCAGCACCCCTTGTTCATCACCATCTTCATTGTCTTCTGTATTTGCAACTTCAATTACATTTTCCGATGTTGAGAGAAGAAATTCCCAAATATTGAACAAAACGATGAAAAATTCGTTTCTAAACAATAATACAACAGTTTATCCAGTTATGTCTAATGTAACAAATATGAATGGAATTGATCGTTTAAAAATTCAAAATGAATCATCATCAACGGTCACCAGTCCAATCTCATCGCAATTAACTTCAACAACAAATTTAATACATCCTGTCTTTACATTCTCATCAAAATTATTATCACCAACTGCCGCCGAATATTATCATCACACATCCGACAATAAAGTAACTGCTAAATTTGAACCATCATCAGCATCACATGTATTGTGTCGTTGATTAGAACTGCTGTCCAACAATGCGCAATATACCGACCGATAGCTCTAAGCAAAGCGAAAAATTTTTATAAATCTTTTGATTTAATCTAAAGATAAATGAACATCCTCACACCGTACGAGCCATATGCAATGACCAAGTTACACATTCATCATACAAGAAAGAAATATTGATCTGATTCGACGGTAAATTATTCGTATTTTTTGTTTATTTCCCGAATGGCCATTTCTCTTTTTCACCCTTCTGCTTCTTCATAATAATAGTCAGATTTCTTCTTTCTTTACAGTAAGCTGTTTAACTTATTACCTGTGGTTTTATTCTGGGAATATCTTGTATGTAATGGTCTTCATGACAGAGTTTGATTGCATTCCTGTTGTATGTAAATAATTTTAAATCTATTTTGATACAAGTAGCTGGTTTACTTCTATAATTATCAAATGATATTTCAAAGTGAAAATCCTTCTCAATTTCTTGACATCGTACGAATGATGAGAAAATGCGTACTAATGAGTTTAAATGAGTCTAAAACACTCGAGCTATTCATTTATAATACCTGAAGGGAAGTGAAGAGTAGAACGATATTTTCTATTTGATAGACATTTTTTCTGCTTTTGCAATCCGATAAACATCATTTTATAGTGGGATGTAAAGACCTTATTAAGGAGTGCCAAATGCATTTTTTCAGCATGATGATACACATTGTTTAAAAAGAGTACAGCGTTTACCTCTTTACACGGCTATGTAACTTGAAATACGATAGCTTTTCAGCATTTTTAGCCACCCTTCAATTGATAGTCCGCAACGGTGATAAGAGAAATCAGAAAGGTACAAATGCGTTCGCTGTTCTGTTTTTAGATACTGGAAATGACTAGCTCTTTTACCTGTGCATGTTCTTTCAAAACGATGTATGCTTTGCTTTGCTTCACACCAGGAACGAGTGTAGTGATAATTATAATGACGCCGGTGGTTCTATTCTGTTTTTCTCTAGAGCAAAGAGTATAAAAACTAGATGCCAACTACCTTACGGGTAGATTCGAAAGCCAACCGAGTGAAACGTTTTTTAGAAACATTCTAGACACCGTTTGAATCTCTGAACACTGCAATCCTCTAGTACTAAACATTTTGATGCATTCTATTGGTAGTAATGTTTCAAACTGTACAGAAGTATAGATAAGATTGATAAGTAGCACGTGACTGACCTTAGAGGTCACTGCATACTACTCATACTGAATGTATATGAAGTGTCACGTGATGAATTATCACAGAAAAAACGGTAAAGCCCTTCAAAATATGCTCAGGCTTTGGGGCTCTTATAATACGTTAATTAAAAGGTATGTCGAAAAACTAATTCCAGATATAATCACGTACTACTTATCAGTCTATACTACTATATAAAGTGAACACCTATTTAGTTTTTTTCTCTACGATCTCCAGACTCTGGTTTCTCCAGTTTATGTATAAACATACACATAAACTAGAGAAACTGATAATTGAGCGGTGCTGGTTATATAAGGGGATCAAACAGTGTCTGAAGTGTCTTTAAGAGACGTTTCACTTGTTTAGTTTTTCAATCTGTCCGAAGGATAGTTGGAATCTAATGATCTCACAGGAAGAACGACAGTTGTCTAAAAAATATTATTCATTTTGTGGGACTAATTGTAGTATTAGTAAAGCAAATATCTGAAAACTAACTTCAGATGTATCATCTACAGGTCGTTCTACTTTCGAATCACCTTTTCTCTAAATGTGTATGATCAAATATAACTGAGAACGAGTGTGTGACTCGAACGAGAAAACACATTGTGAAAAGAAAGAGAGAAGAATTTTGCTACACAACGCCGAAGTAAAAAGCAAGTCTCCTATCGTTTCACTTAGTTGACTTAAAGAAGAAAAATTTTTTATGGTGAAACAGAATAAGTCTCCTCGATTTTTACTTGATCGGTTTAAAAAGCGAATCAAGATTTAAGAAGCGTATCATAATTATAAATGTATTTAATTTAAGATTATATTATTTTCGTGAACGTCGATTCATATTGCTTGAAATGAATTTCTTACAATATAGCTAGTCGAGGAAGTTCTATTTTTTTCAATTTCTCCTTTTATTTAAGTGTATGTAACTATTCTTGTTCTTGGATGAGGAAAAAAAAAATACTGTTTGTAAATACGATATCATTCTGATCTTCTACATACGAATTATGAGACATATTTTTCTACTATAAATGTTATTATTGTTATTTATTTCTCTATAGCATGGATCGAAATTCGAGCCAATGGATGTTTTTGTCTGTGTGAGTAAATGTGTGAGCAGAATTCTAAAGTCAGATTGTTTCTACACATTGGATTAGCTAGCTATTTTTCTCTTTTAAAATAACCACAACAAATCCTGTTCATATTTGTTTGTGCAATAATGACGGTATGTGTTGGAAAAAAAAAACTCACCTTTAAGGCAACTCTATTTGCACATCCATTTCAAAACGATCACATTTCGTCTTCATTTTATTTCTAATCAGTTTTCTATAAGATGAGATAAGTTATGATGCTTATTAAAAATAACAGAGAATGGAATTTCCATAATTTTAATTCCATTTTCAAGAGTTCACTCAAGTGCAATAATAAGCTCCGTTGTATCTCTCTTATTTTTTCTATCAAAAACAAAAAAAATTCAATGTTCTTTCTCTTGAGCGTGTATATGTAATCTCCTTGCAAACGCATATTTTTTAATTATTTTTTTCTCTAACTCTTTTTTTTTTTCTTCTATTTATTGATAACATCGGATTCGGTTTCTGTATCTTATCGTTAAAGCCATTCGTCTTTTTTGTCATCGGTCTTGTTGTGAAGCTCGCGGTTATTGATGAGGAATTGGATTGAATATATTTAAATATGATCACAAAGATTTTTTTATCGCTTTGTTAACGTTATCGTTACTGTTGTTACTTAAGAAACTTTAACACTTACATATATGTATATTTCGACTTGGCTTCAAAGTTTTTATTTTTATTTATTTATTTACTTCTGATCTTCTTTTAAACAATCAAGGGTAAATCCTATGTCATGTTAAGGCAAAATGTATTCATATCTAAATGATAATCTATTATATATATTTGATTTTTATATAGAAGGCAACTTGTAGAGAGATAGACTGAGTATTCATCTACATCTCAGCTAATAAAGTCATGATAAATCAGAATTATTCCAGTCCTCCTGCTTCATTCAAATCTCATTCGTTGGATTCAATGCTTTGTCAGAGAAAATTTGAGCCCGGTGTAAGTTGCTAACTGTATTTTATCAAATTTATATATAGATTATAGAATGGATATACATAGTTTTTCTTCCTCGATAAAAAAACAAAGATATTTTGTTCTGTATATATTTATTTATTTATTTTTGCTTTTTGAAGAAAAAACCTGTTTGTCTTACACGTAAACATAGTCTGTTCAGAGAAATGTGATTGTTAGGTTGAAACATGTCTTGATATCTTTTAAGATATATATTTTATATTTTGTAATGTTTTTTTTTTTTTTTGTTTTCAAACAAATCTGTTTTCTGTGTATGATATAAAAACAGAAATCATTTTGTATAAAATGTGGTTGTCTTTTTATGTGTGTATATGTTACGATAGTACGATTCTAACTGGACTTGTTATTTTTCAATTTTTCTTCTTTTCTGATAAAAGTTTATTCTTCTCTATTTGGTGTGGCTTAAAATATTTTTATATTTCAGCAACAATAACAACAAAGTTGTACTGTGTATATAATCTAAATTTTCTTGAAAAGAAAAAAATGTAATACTCCTGTTTTTGTTTTTAACAGAACGTGCTTACTGCTTGATGAATTTATGCAGCTGATGTTGGTAGAGAATTTGAAACAGTGAGTTATTGGCAAATGTTCTTATATATATATATTTTTTTTTTTCCTTCTTCGTTTTGTATCTATACATCTTTTTCTTATTCAAAATGCATATATTATTCTATATTTTTGTATAACTCTTATCGTTTTTGACTCTGTATTGCGTTGGATAACAGTAAGTACCGTTGATTGATGCTATGTTTCAATTTAAACGGGGATTACACTTTTTAAACTCTCTATTTTATTGTAAACGAGAAAATAAAAATCCAAAAAAAGTTAAATAAATGAAAAGCAAAACCATTTGGAAGAAGTAGAAAGGAAAAGTTAAAATTGATAACTGACCTGATTCCATAAACAAACAAGCAATGCTCGATATTTCAATCTAAAAGCATTTTGAAGCAAACTTCGTCAAATAATAATTATTGAAAGATATTATCATGAAACAGTAATGATATAATTGAAGTCACTTTATTGAGCAAAAACAACGATTTATTAGGACAACGTAATATATTCAATAAGAGAACTCTTTGTCTATCGGTATTTTTTTCCATTAAATTGACCCCTTGAAAATTTTCGATCCTTCATCATTGTATTAATTATAAATTAATCTGATTTTCTGTTATTACTAAGATTTATTGAATTTCAAAAACTCTATGATATCATGCTTGTGATCTACAAATATAGAGTATGGTTGTAGTACGTGTACAAAATAAAGATAAATAGAACAAGTACTCGGCACTGAAGTTTTTTGTAAAGTAGATTTATTTGCCCAGGTCGACGATAACTAGCATTTTAATTGTTCATTAACAGCCTGTTAACCGTACTCCAAAAAATGGCCTGTTAATTGTGTAAAAACCGAATGAAAACTGGCATTTAACAGCCATTATAACGTTTTTGCCATTCTGACTAGTATAAATGATACTGATTTTCCTAAAGAAATTTAGAATTTTTCTCTTCTTCAGTTGTACAAGTTAGGAAAACTTGTTTCAAGGAAGCAATCTGTGGTTCTGGAGTTGATGCAGGTGATAGTACCTCAGGTGTCAGAAGATATTAAATGGAAGAAATTTGATAATTAGTATTTTGAAGGTATCAATTAAAAAGAAGCCGTACCAAGAAAACGTCGAAAAGGTGACAATTAACTGGCAATTAATATGTAAA